GCACTGTGATGCGCTCCAGGACATGAGTTTGGAAATGTATGCAGATGGGATGATGGTCCCCATACAGTGCCGGGGATGAACAGGTGAGGGCATATACCCGCAACGGACATCTACAAATTTCTCGACGTGATTGTTTTTGTTAAACCACCAGTACTTGGCCCATATATTGGCTGCAGGCCCCACCGCGACTTTCGGATGCCGTAAACACGACAAAGGTCATTGATGACATTTATCAACAGCCGTGAAAGGCCATTGATGACATTTATCAACAGCCGTGAAGGCCCCGAAAGTCCGCGGTACGTTAATGTGAGGGCCCGCAGCCCGGGCCAAGTACTGGTGGTTCGATTCTTTTTTTGTCTAACATGAGTCACACACCTGTGGCACGGAACTGTAGCAAGTCCTATCCCCCCACGAATGTGACGGGACCCCTGGACTGCCAACTTGTCACAGGGTCACGACCTACGAGCACCCCGCTACAGTCTTCCCCCGAATACAACGTAGGGTCATTATAGCTGAATTTAGACAGAAAGATGGACCAAATTCGGCTATAATGACCGTGCGTTGTATTCGGGGGAAGACTGTAGCCCTCTGATCCTGCAGGTTGAACCTCATCCTGGCCCAGCATATACTGGTACAGGGTAGGGGTCTTTGTCACAGCGTAATGACAGTTTAAACCACCAGTATGTCCGAGCCTCTTTTTCAGGACGCACAGTTTTGCCCCGGCCCTCATCTTTCCAGACCATCAAGCATGACGGCCCACCGGGCTCAGCCAGCCCATTTGTGGCAGTAGGCCTAGCTGAAATTTCGCATCATGTTAACCGACATGTCCGAACATGGCAGCTGGGTAGCATCCTGATGGTTTGAGATGGTTTGAGGGTTCAAACCCCTTCTTCTGCTCGTCAGCTTCGCAGCTACAGCCTAAAATATTGAGCAACCCCTTGCAGGCAGCAGAAAGACCTGTGGCACTCCGATTGACAATCTAATAGACGCACTGAAAAAGGAGCATATGGTAAACCAGAGCGGTAGCAAAGGGCAGTGCTGGTTTGTGAGCAGACAACCATGGTAGACCAGGGCAGTAGTTTAAAAAGGAAGTGGTGATTTAAGGGCAAAACAAAGGCAGAAAGCAAAAAGAGCATGGGGAATATGTCCCTCCTTGCCTTGATAAACTCCAGATCCAACTTGATCTCCGGAAGAGGTATCTCCTTTACGACATCCTCAATCTGTCCAGATCTCACAGCCAATGGATACACACACACACACACACACACACACACCTGTCTCTTATACACATCTAGATGTGTATAAGAGACATATATATATCATCACAAACAGAACTGCCCGGTAAATCGTAGGCAGAGAGAGAGAAGAGGACAACAAACGAGGGGCTGTGACAAACTTTTTCGTC